TAGGTGTCATCACTTGGTTACGTCCGTACTTGGGACTAACCAACTCACAGCTGCCTCCTCTGTATGATTTGTTGAAAGGAGACTCTGATCTAAAGTCACCTCGCACACTGACCCCTGAGGCGCGTAAGGTGTTGGAGGTGGTTCAGCAAGCTGTTTCGCCTTGTCAGGTTTATCGCATTGATCCCTCCATTGATGTCACTGTGTTCATCACCACTCCAGATTCGCATCCCACAGGTATCATTGGCCAATGGAGTGACAAATGGTCTGATTCCTTGCACATTCTGGAATGGGTTTTCCTGCCCCCATCAGCCACAGAAGACGGCAACTGCATTGTTTGAGCTGATTGCTTGCTTGATAATCAAATGCCGGCAACGGTGTTTGCAGTTGATGGGTGCGGATCCTGCAAAGATCATACTCCCGGTGCAACGGGAGGATTTTGACTGGAGCTTTGTAAACAGTGTGTCCCTGCAGAGTGCTCTGGAAAATTTTTCAGGGCAGATCACTTATCATCTGCCCAGCCATAGGCTGTTGCATATGGCGAAATCCACACAAATTTCTTTGCAGCCCAAGAATAGTCAGGAACCTGTGCAAGGACCCACCGTCTTCACTGACGGTTCAGGGAGAACAGGAAAGGCCATTGTTACCTGGAGGGACGGATCTGAGTGGCAGGTTCTGGAAGGCCATGAGGATGGGTCAGCCCAATTGGTTGAACTGAGGGCTGCTGTCATGACATTTGAGAAATTTTCCCAGGAACATTTCAACTTGGTCACAGATTCTGCCTATGTGGCTGATATTGCACAGCGGTTGGGTCATTTGGTTTTGAAGGAGGTCAGTAATCCTGCCTTGTTTCATTTACTGAAGACCTTGTGGTGTGCCATTCAGGCCCGAGTTCATCCATTTTATGTTCTGCATGTGAGGAGTCACACCGATTTGCCAGATTTTATAGTGGAAGATAATGCGAAGGCTGACAAGTTGGCTAACCCAGCGTGGGTAGCGCCTCAGCCTGATACACTCGCGCAGACCAAGGCATCGCATGGGTTTTTCCACCAAAACGCACATACCCTGCAGAAGCAGTTTCAGCTGACACCAACTGAGGCTCGTGATATTGTTGAGTCATGTGATGACTGCCATGCACTTGCTTCGCCTTTGCCGGCAGGGGTAAACCCCAGAGGCCTTAGGGCCTTGGAGCTTTGGCAGACCAATGTCACCCAGATTGCCAAGTTTGGCTGGCTCAAGTATGTGCATGTCACTGTGGACACGTTCTCCTCTGCCATGTGGGCTTCGGCTCACACTGGGGAGAAGGCCCGTGATGTCCTTGCCCACTGGAGGCAGGCCTTTGCTGTTCTGGGCATAACTTCTGCTGTGAAAACCAACAATGGTCCTGCTTATGCATCGCAAAAGGTGTGGCAGTTCCTGCAGTTGTGGCGTGTCTCAAACAAGTTTGGTATCCCTCATTCTCCGACTGGTCAAGCTATTGTAGAACGCGCTCATGGTACTCTGAAGTGGGTTCTTCAAAAACAAAAACAGGGAATGCAGGGTGAAACCCCGCACAGTCGGTTGGCAAAAGCTTTGTGCACAATCAATCATCTCACTGTGCCGCATAACTCAAAAAATCCTGTCATTTTGAATCACCATCTCTCATTGCAAACTGCGGACGAGGCACATCAGCCTCGAGGTAAGGTTCGGGTGCGGACTTTAGTCACCAAACAGTGGGAATGTCCCTATGACCTTATCGTTTTGGGGCGCGGGTATGCTTGTGTATCCACAGATAGTGGGGTACGCTGGGTAACTTTGAAATGTGTTCGCCCTGACCGGCGAACGCAGAGACAGAATCCAGCTGATGAGCAAGATGGAAACCGTGACCAACCTGAAAGGCATCAAGTGGGAGAATCATTGAGTGATGATTCGGATGCAGATGATGAGAGTGATCACTCCGATGATTCCTCTGCAAGTGGACAGTGAACATTGTTCATATTTTCCTTTTCACATTGTTCATTTCTTTTTTCTTTTTCTTTTTAAATGGAAAAGGGTGAGATGTCACCCTGGTTTTTTAAGATTTTCTAAGCCTTCTGATGTTGACATTCTTGTAGTGAACTTTCTCACACACTTTCTGTAAATAACTCATTGTTTTGCATTCCTTTATGGAGGAGGAGAGAGTTGATGGACTGTTGGTTTGACCTGTGTCATTGCAGAGGTGTCACTGTCACCTTCCAATCCGCTGACACATTTGTAAAACTATAAGTATTGGAGTCAGAGAATTAAACTTCCCTTTTTTCCTTCACCTTGAGAATGGTGGTGTGCTTGTGTTCTTTTGTGTCCTTCAGCAACAGTGTTGGAATGATTATCACACAGCTCTCCATTTCTGGCTGCAAGCTCTGGAGATTCTTTCTGCATTCAGTCTGGCTTGCATTCCCTAACCATTCCTGGTACCTTGTCATATTTTCTTAGGCTAGAACAGTAACAATGCAAACCTCACCAATGGCACAACTGCCCAGCCCACAAAGAAAAGAACAGGTTGTAAAGTTCTTCAGACATTTGTCCTGCTTTGCTGCAAGAGTCGTGCTGCACGCACGGTGTGGAAAGCCAAGAGAAGCTGCAGTTGTTGGCACATCTTGTGACAGAAGCTGCACCTCATTCTCCAGGAAAGGTTCTTGGAAAGAGCAAACAGGACTGTGGACAAGATTCTGGAAGAACTGAAACAGTTTTTAGGAAATTAAATGAAAACAGAAAAAAACAATCTGAGATGTTTTACTCTATTTATTTTCATGCTCCCCTTTGCACTACTTCTCCATCCCATTAATTCCAAATGGATCTCACCTCTAAGATCCATGACTCAGCATGTTTTAGACACTGTAAAATACCATGAGCTATACAGTTTGCCTTCCCCAGGTTTTTTTGGGTTTTTTGGGTTTTTTTGGGGGGGTTTTTTTTGAAGGCAATGCTGGAGAGGTAAATGCAGTTGTAATATATGGTAGGGATAATTCATGCTATTAATGTAGTAATTGTAAAATCCCAAATCTATGTGTCTGACCACCCCGGCCAGGAGCAGCTGTCTATTTAGATTCAACAAGTTCCCTTACACAAGTTAAGATAACGATTGACGCCTTAACATAAGAATAGAAGCTTCCAGGGTGATGATAACCCGTATCCTCATTGGGAGCCACCCAAGAGCGATTATCACCTTGCCGATTGCATCTATCAAGATAGTCAGTGGCGCCAGACTGATACATCTGAATACATGGCTTGCCGGAGCCGATTGACGCCAGTGGCACACCTGGACCTGGCTTTTGTCCACCTCTGCACATGAAAGAAACAGCGATACGTGTGAAGAGATACAAAGGAAATTTGGTCATCTTTGCCTCGGGCAGAATAAACTGTATAAAACGTGGCTGCAAGAAGCAGCCTGCGTGAACGGGAGAAACTGACACTCGGGAGGTCAGATCCAGGTTCACCCAGCACTGAACACAGGCTCGACACTGTCTCTTTGGCTGTGGTGGTCTCGAAGACCAAAATTTGGTCACGCAGACAAATTAATAAATCTTTGCTAAATTTTTGACAAATTTTGGCTCACAATTTGATCATTTATAACAATGTGGTGAAACCCGAAGGGATTTGAATTTGAAGTTCAGGACCCCTTCCTGCTTGGAAGGTGCCCCGCTGATTTCAGCAGTCTCAGCAGGACTGGAGTCCGCGAGACCAATCAAAAATCACTGAACTGAAACTGGAGCCACAGCCAAAGAGGGATAAAACAGGCCCAGCTCTAGGAAACTCGGCAAGATCCAGGGGATCTCTGAGCCCCAGGTGCTTTTTTTTCCAAAATCAGCGTGGATGAAGAATCCATGCGGGAAAAGGAACTGTGAGTATATTGCGTGGTTGAGTGGGGTGTGACCGAGTTATTGTGAGACATGACTCTCATGAGACTGTCATGAAGCAAGTGTGGACCCCACAGTCGCAGTTCCACCATCCCATGAGGGACATGGTCGTCAAGGGGGAAGCGGATGCTTTTTCTTAACACATGTGGGACCCAGGACTCAAAGGGAGTTCAAGGGGGGAAATCGGTCACGGTTGGGTCAGAAAGGGGAAAAGACGGTCCTGGAAAATTTCAGGAGTCCATCTACCTTCTGATCCAGAGAAAACAGGTAAGAAAACCAGAGATCAGTTGAAAAGTCCGTGGAACAGTTCTCCGTTTGACTAAGACTGGTGACGTTTTGCAAACTCAGGAAATTGACATTGGACAAAGAGTCAGGACTCGTGACGAGCGTCCCAGCAGAAAGAGACAAGGTGAGAAAATTAGTGGGAGGGATTTTTGGAAAAATGAGGTTGGGAAAGAGCAGGTTCCAGACAAAACCCAGGAAAAATCTCCCCAGGGTCCTGCGAAAGTTCTGCCAGAAATCCCAAGAGATAGTCCGTTGGGGTGGATGCCAGAACATTGGGATGAAAGCCCCAGGAGAGCAGGCAGGTCCAAGGAGAAAATGGTCCATTTTTGTATGGAAAAATCGGGAGGGAAGGAGATCGGAAAATATGTGGTTTGGGTGGTGTTCAGCACGGCATGGACTTGCGAGTCCTTATATGATCACGTATTTGATCGCCGCTTGCAGGATTTTGAGGAAATTGAGTATGCTGAGATGTGGAGGTACGCTGGTATGAGTTTATACCCAGTATGAACCCTCTGAGGTGCGGCAACGAGGTGAAAGGAATGGGAACCCTTGGACAATCTTCCACCTCTCTACCTTGTTCCTCTGCCCCAGCCCGGACTGGCTTAGGCATCACCCGTGCCCACATTGCCTCTAGAGGCAGTGATCCCACTGGGTCAGGTCTCGGCTCCCACTGGAGCAGGCTGAGGCGCCTCCCCTCCACGTGAACAAGCAGCGGCACCTCCGCTCCCATGTGAGCAACCACTGCCGCCAACCCTTCCCAAAACTGAAGAAAAACAGATAACCATCCACAAAACCAGCTCTCCCCTGACCCATCAAACAAGGCGGTGAATGAGGAGGGCAACCATGAGAGACAGTGGGGATGAGGAAGAGAAGCCTGGCTTCTTCCCTTTACAGGAGGTGCCGACGGCTCCTGGAGTGATCGGCTTCGTACACGCACCAATTGATACCAGAGACGTGAGAGTGTTCAAGAAAGAGATTGGAAAATTAATGGATGATCCTTTGGGGGTGGTGGAAAGGCTAGATGAATTTCTAGGGACCAGCACCTATTACAGCGTCCTGAGTGGGTCGCTGGGGTGGTGAGAGAAAGACGAGAATTTTGTTTCTTGATCAGAAGGCTGGATTTATTGATATATGATATATAATACATTATAACTATACTAAATAGAATAAAGAGAGAAGTTTCAGAGCTGCTAAGCTAAGAATAGGAAGAAAGAAAGAATCTATAACAAAGTTGTGTCCAGGGACTCTGTCCCCAACTTGCTCCTGTGATTGGCCCTTAATCATAAACATGGGAACATGAACCAATCACAGGTGCATCCTATTGCCTTTCACAGCAGCTGATAACAATTGTTTACATTCTCTTCTGGGGCCCTTTTGCTTCCCAGAAGATACAGAAATCTGAAAGAAAGGATTTCTGTGAAAAATGTCTGCGACAAGCACCCACACCTATGAGGATCTCCAATCGATCCTGAGATTGCTGTTCAACATTTAGGAGAGGGACATCATCAGACAAGCCACGATCAAAGATTGGGAAAAGAGAAACCCCAATGGGGAAAGCGGGGATGAGAGATGGCCAAACCAGAAACCATCCTGGAATGCCCAGATGGAGGAGGAGAGGCAGAAAATGATAAATTTGAGAAATATGATAATTCAGGGTATCAGGGAAGCGGTACCCAAGGGACAGAACATGAGCAAGGTACTCAGGGAGTGCCAGGGGAAAGATGAAACTCCCATGGAATGGTTGGAGAGGCTCCGCAAGTGTTTGAGAATGTATTCGGGGACTGATCCCGATTCTCCAATCGGGCCCTTTTGCTAAAAACTCAGTTTGTGGCAAAATCCTGGGAAGACATTCTGAAAAAGCTAGAAAAGGTAGATGGTTGGCAGGACAAGGGGTTGCAGGAACTGCTTCGGGAAGCCCAAAAAGTCTAAATGAGATGAGACGAAGAGAAACAGAAGATTCAAGCTAAGATATTGGTAGCTGCAGTAAGGGAAGCACAAAAACAGGAGCAGGGCAGAGACACGGTGAAGAAGGCGCTGGCGAAGACACAGAGCTCTTCCCAAGGAAAAGGATTGAACGATCAGAAGAGAGATTACAAGTGCTATTACTGCAAGCAAAAGGCACACATCCGAAGGAATTGTCCCAACAAAGCCAAGGACCAGGCAATATTTCAAGAAGAGTAGGGGTGTCAAGGGCTTTTCAGTTTGGGGTCTGGAACACCGAGGGAGCCCTTGATAAAATTAAAAGTAGGACCCCACAGGCAGGAGATGTGGTTTATGTAGACTCAGGGATGGAACAGACAGCTGTGCAGCAGCTGTTGCAGGGGTGCTCCCTGAGCGACGATTCCATGATGATAATCAGGGCAAAAGGGGAACCCTTTGGGGTCCCGATCATAAAAAATGTAGAAATAGAAACGGAGAACAAAAAACATACAGGAAACATAATATTAATACGGGATACGGATTTTAATTTGCTGGAGCGAGACATGATGGTAGCCCTAGAAATCAGCTTGGCAGTGGAGAATTCCTGGCTCAGGCTGAGGATATATAAACTCACTGTCCAGGATGAGGAGAAAATCGATCCGAAGGTTTGGTATGTCCAAGGGGAAGCTGGGAGGTTGGACATAGAACCAATCCACATTGAAACTGAGAGACCAGAGCACCCTTTCAGTTGTTTGTGGACATGAGCAGTCACACAGCACATGGGGTTCTGACACAGGACTGGGCAGGGGTCAGGAAACCAGTAGGTTACTTGTCTAGACTTTTGGACCCGGTCAGCAGAGGCTGGCCCACCTGCTTGCAGGCGATTGTCACCGCAACATTGCTGGTAGAGGAAGCTAAGAAGGTAACCTTTGGTGCACCATTGGTATTTGCACCACATAATGTGCAGGGCATACTATAGCAGAAGGCAGATAAATGGCTCACTGATGCAAGGTTGTTGAAGTATGAGGCCGTTTTGATTCACTCACAGGATTTGGAATTGAGGACAATGACCGCGCAGAACCCTGCGGAGTTTTTGTTTGGGGAAGCTTCAGAGGAGCTTGTTCATGGTTGCGTGGAGGTGGTTGAATTACAAACAAAGATCAGATAGGATTTAGAAGAAGAAGAGCTAGATGAAGGAGAAAAATGGTTTGTGGATGGATCAAGCAGGGTGGTTGATGGGAAAAGGAGATCAGGATACGCAGTCATGGATGGACAAATGGGAAAAGTGATTGAAGCGGGTCCCCTGAGTGCCAGTTGGTCGGCAGGCTTGCGAACTGTATGCAGTTCTGAGAGCCTTGAAAGGACTGAAGGGGAAGAAGGGAACAGTTTTTACAGACTCAGGTATGCCTCTGGGGTGATTCACACCTTTGGGAAAATCTAGGAAGAAAGTGGGTTGATCAACACACGGGGCAAGGGACTGATGCATGGAGAACTGATCCGGCAAATTTTGGAAGCAATAAGGGGGCCGGAGGAAATTTCATTTGTCCAAGGGAAGGGACACCAGGCAGGGATGCAGTTTCGAACAGAGGAAGCAATCTGGCAGACCAGGAAGCCAAGACTGCAGCACTGATGACAGTAAGTACCCTGGAGATGGAAGGGATTGAGATCCCAGACAACCCTCCTCAACCCTCCCAAAAGAAGATTGAAAGTTATGAGAAGATTGGGGGAAAACTGGAGGAAGAAAAGTGGAATTTATGAGATGGGAGAGAACTAGTCTCTAAAGGTTTTACCAGAAGGATTTTGAGGAAACTGCACCAGCGAACACACTGGGGGGCAGAGACCCTGGCAGAACAATTTTTGATATTTTTCGGGTGCAGGGGAATATACGAATTGGCCAAACAAGAGGTACAAGGATGCCTGATTTACCAGAAATTAACAAGACTAAGGCCATCCTGGGGAGTCGCCCCATTGCATACCGACCATTTGAAAGGATTCAAGTCGATTTCACTGAATTGCCCAAAGTGAGGAGGTTCAAATTTGTACTTGTGATCATGGACAAATTGACCCATTGGGTGGAAGCATTCCCCAGTCCACAGGCAATGGCTCAGACAGGAAATTGCTGGAGGAAATTGTGCCCTGATATGAGGTGGTGAATTACATTGATTAGGACCAAGGCACACATTTTACATCAAAAATTATTAAGAAGATGGCAGAGGCGCTAGGCATTCGGCAGGAATACCACACTCCGTGGCATCCCCACAGCTCAGGACAAGTGGAAAGGATGAATCAGATTTTGGAAGCGCGGTTGTCTAAATTAATTTTAGAAACTCGGATGTCCTGGCCAAAATGCCTACCTTTACCCTTGCTTAATATCAGGAAAATGCCTCATTCAGAGACGGGGCTCTCACCCTGCGAGATGCTATATGGAATGCCATATAAGCATGGGATGCCAGTGGGACATCCCAGACTTGATGACAGCCAGATTCAACTGTATTTGGTTGTGACAAACAGAAACTTACAGGAACTGAGAAAACAAGGGATAGTATCTCAGAGTGCTCCTCTGGGATTTGCGATCCACAAAATTCAACCGGATGACAGAGTGCTTGTGAAAGTGTGGAAAGCTGTACCCCTCTCTCCTCACTGGGAAGGTCCTTTTCTTGTGCTTCTGACAACAGACATGGCCATTTGGATGGCGGAGAAAGGCTGGACACACCTGTCTAGGGTGAAGAAAGTCAAACACCAGGAAGAAGCGCCCGAGTGGAGGGTCACTTCTTCCCCAGGCGACTTGAAACTCAAACTCCAACATCATTGTAAATGACCGACGGCGAGTGGATAGGTTGTATACTGTCTGACTGTGTATGCTATCCGTTTGTACATTTCAAGTGTGAATATTGTCAGGAGGTGTTTGTAGTACACTGTAGAAGGGGACAGAGGCCAAAGGGGTTGTGCACTGAAGAAGGAGATTGAGCTGACTGACCGAATCCTAACCCTAGCCATAAGTCTAGGAATCATTGAATTAGATTTACAGGAGTGGTTTCAGATTTTTCAGAACAGGGTGCGTGGAAAGCTTAGATCAAAGGCAGAGGTTCTGGATGTGGAGTGCTGGAAATCAATCAAGGTACCATGTAGCTCAGATGCTGTCAAGGTTTCATGGTGAGGCGCCTTTAAAAGGAGGTATGCGGCTAGGTCAGAGAATGTGTTCCCTGAAAAATACTCCTGCTGCCGCAAAGATGGTCTTCCTCGCAGCTGGTAGCACCCCAGGGGGTGGAGGCAAAGGCAGAGGAGTACGCCTGGTGGGAATCCTGATTGGCCTGAGCCTAGTCGTGTGCGAGACGCAGAGTCTGCACACTGAGGTCCTGATATGAGGCGGAAATGAGAGCTCTGCAGATGAGTGTGGAAATTGCACTCAGGTGGTCCCAGCTGTAAAGGGAACAAGAAACCCTCAGCATGCCAAGCCCTGGTAGATTGTCTCAGGGAACCTGACAGGTACTGTTGGAAGAATGGCACAAGGGTCAAATTGTGTGAATTTGAAACAGGGATTTGGTGTATCAATCCCGAGGCAGGGCTAAGGAACGGGCAGTCAGATGAGCACAAACATCAGATATGGGAATGAAATATAGAAACTATGTCAATCCCCATTTGCAACCAATGTAACCGGACCATGTGCGTTGGGGGAAAGAAAGAATCGATCTTTGTCGCGTATCACCAGGTGAATCCATTGTGTTACGACAATGGCTGGGGATATGCACGATGATTGGGAAAATGTATTGGATAGCATGAAATGTCAAGTTTGATAGCAAATTTACCTTGAACAAACCCACTCATATTGGATTTGGCACAGGCAAATGATGATAGGGTGTGCTTGCAATATGACTGGGTTGTCTGCTTCACAAAAAACAAAGATGGTGAGGATCATGAGGGGAGAATGAATAACTCAGGAACTGAAGCGAAGGGAGTCAGAAATGAGGAGAAAAAGAGTTGAACAGGAAAGACTGAAAACACTGGGAGAACAATATGAAATGCTGGAGAAACAATATGCTGATGGGGAAATACCTTCCCCAGACAGGAACCTGTTCATTGACCTGCTGCAAGAGATTGCAACCAAACTAGGATTGTCAAATTGTTGGATTTGTGGGGGGCTGAAGTCAGCAGAAAA